TATTCTTCCTCCCTTTTCCCAGGATCTCCGCCGAAATTATCCGGGCCAGAGGGCGTAGGGCTCACCCCGGGAATAAAATTCTAAAAAGGGATTCACGGGAAGGTCGCGCAGTCTCTAGATTCAGTATATTGTGTCCGCTATAAAGATTCTTACGTCCGAAATCTATCCGTCTGGCCGTAGCCGGCGCGGCAGCTATTATAGAAAATACCGATCACCGGGTACCTGGCTCGGGGCTTCCTGAAAAACCTCCGAGAGATACCTGTCTTCCCCCGGCCACCACCTGCTCTCTCTCTCGCCGCTACGAGACCTTCATGAACATATGCCGTGTCTGGCGAACAATGTTCCCCGACCAGCTTGCGCGTTCCGGGACGACGACGGCACGGATCCCGCCTGGCCCCCCCAAGTTTCTTGCGCGTAACGTTTGGCAACCGCTTTCCTCGCTTCGTCCTCGACGTTAATTTATCATTAAAACGTACGATTTTCCGAGGAAGGGCGATCGACGCGCGTTCACACACGGGATTTACACGTCGCCGTTACGTATCGAAACGGCTAAATTTGCTGATGATCGCGTATTTTGTGTTACGAGACGAGTTTTCGACGAGTTACTTCCTTGAGCTGTTTACGAGAACGCGACCGCGTATCGCCGCTTCCTCGCACCGCGGCCGTAATGAAATGCTTAGCCGCGCTCGCGCGCGTTCGTAAATATGCAATATCTTGGGTCTTAGAGAGGTCGGAGTAAATTTATTCTTTATTCAAAATGAAGAGCTCCGAGCGCGCGCGTCTCCTCCTCGATATCGGCGAAAGATAATCGACGAAGCGTCGAAGCAATATCACGGCGACGTATCGCGATATTTCAATCCAAACGGACTTCATTCTTTGTTCAAATTAAATTTATGCTAGCTGAAGATAATATCGGCAACGTATCGCAGTTTCGCGCGCTGCGTACGGATATGCGATGCTTCAAAGAAAAAAAAGTAATTTGTTTCTTCATTCAGAACGAAAACTTGGAGAGAGACGTTTATCTTGCCGACGTCGACGGAATCAACGTAGGTATATATATACGGCGCGCAGATTGCGATACACTGGCGAAGTTGCCAACATCACCGCTCTGTCACAACCTGCGTGCCACATTGAAAAGTTTACGGGTATATATCGTAAACCTCATAGAGGGGAAAGAGAGTCATTTTTTTTCATTTGGTACACAAACAGCCCCGAACATGTTTCCCTCGGCGTCGCGTCGCGAGAAAAATAACCGAGAGTGGCCACAGGAAACAAAAGCACAGGAAGTTTAGAATAAATGCGATGACGCTATATTCGAGAAGAGAAGTAAAAGAAACGCGGTTTATCGTGATAGTATTATATTTCTCTTGGCGGACGGTGTCGAAAGGGCGTACCGCGAATCGGCCATGCGGTTCTGACAAAGGGGAAACTGGAAAACGGATGTAGAAAGAACACATATGAGACACGATTCAAGACTCAAAAACGATAGACCTTCATATTATATCACATTATTACATTACACCCAATTCGGATGGTCATCTTAGAAGTTACGAAACGCTCGAGGTCGCGGATGTATTTCCAATTATCTGGCAATCTGACGTTATCGTGAAGTTACATAAAAGTGCACCATTAGTTAATTTAGCAATTGACTGTAAAACGCGATCGCAATTATTGCTAATTGGAGCAGTGAACTTTTATTATACGAACACCAAGAAGAAAGGGAGAGGGACAATTATTTTGTAAAATGTATTGCGCGCGCCGAACGTTTTATATGACATTTTAATCTCGCGAGTCTCTCGCGACACGTGATTTTGACTGGAAAAATTTTTACGTAACGCGGAATCAGCTGTGCCAAAAATTAATATGACAAATAATTGAATCCTTTCTCGTATTTCTGATGCGCAAACGCGTTTCATCGCGCGTGCCAATTGCGGTATGGGGATTAACGTTTGCGGAGACGATCGCGCGGGTGTCGACAGTTATTAACTTGGTTATTAATGTCTGTATTTATTTTGCAGCTGTATTTTTTTGTTCCTACAAGTTCGACGTCGAGTTCTGCTCGTGCGACATTTGCATTATCACGTACGCTGTACGTGATAATATAAATGCGAATGATGAATGTTTGCGCGATCGACGTCGGTGAGTCGATCGTATAACCGAGTCACTTATTCTATTTATTTATCGTGCATAAACGAGGAACATTAAAGCGGCTCCGAGAACGACGAGCCGCCCGAGTGAATATACATGTGCGCGCGTTCGATGTCGGGCCCTCGAAGGCGATATTCTCCTTTTACACCATGGGTCAGACATTAGTATGTTAAGCAACATTTTTGTAGGCACCATGTTTATGCGTCCGAAAATGTTTCTGATAGATCGTGGCCGTCGCGCGCGACATAAACAAGTAACGCACACGAATAAGCAATATATGTTATCATGTTTATTTTAATCGAAGCAATTTAAACCTAATACTCCATAAAATAGAGGATTTACCAACTGCGGTGATCCCCCGTGGCAATATTTTAAACAAGCGCGTTTGCATTAAAATATATTTAATCCGATTCAGCGTAATTAAAAATAGGCACGCGTTACACTGACCTTCGTATTTGTTTGTGGCATTTATTGCCAATCGCCGTGTTTGCTTGCTCTTTCACGAATCGTATGAATATCACGGAAACGTATCGCAATATTTTTCTTTCTCCCGCGTGCGAAATATCGAATTTTCCAACGATACCCGAAATGGCAAAACAACGCCACTCTGATTCAGCATGATTGGTAAACGTTGTTTATTAACGTCTCTATTGCAAGATACGATTGCTCCGCAAGTTTCGAAGTGGCTCCGTGATTCGAGCGTGAGGAAAAGTATCCACGAAAGATGGTAGCCGGACGAAGAGAATCGCGCGATGACGTTCGTTGTGTCGCAAGAGACAGGTAAATATTTCATTCCAATGGCGAGCGATGCAACACGCGACGTTTTGCAATCGTCGATTTGAATGGAGAGTCGGCGTCGCGACGAAAAAAAAAAGAAGAAGAAATACGATACATCCGGGACAGCGAGTTCGTAGGTTTGCGCGTGCAGAATCGCCACGCACTCTCCCTGCTCCGAGATTAATATCTCCTCCGGCTAATCGAGGCACACACGAATCCGCTCTATTCGAATATTATACAGACGACGTAATTATATTCGTAATTATATTTGTAAAATCGGTGGGGTGCGATCAAGACGCGATAACGGCCGATAGCGCGGTGTATAACGAGAAATTAACTTGTGTGTACATCGAGTAGTAAAACCTATTCTATTATGTTTCCTCTTTAAGCGATAAGTACACATTCGAACATCCTAAACAGATTCGATGTAGGTATTTCGCCTAAAATCTATGGCCATCCAGAAATAACAGAAGACGAGAATGTCAGTCACTGCAAAACTTGGAATGGACTCTTTATTAATACAGGCACAAACGGCCTTCGAGTACTTCGAAGGCAGTAAAAGTCATTCATTAATCTTTGGACTAAGGCAAACAAATAAAATTCTCCTATTTGAGACAGACTTTACCTTCGGCATTACTTTTTTTTTTTTTTTTTTTAGAGATTTATTGATCATGGTTAGGAAATTAAAGAGTCGAAATTCCTCGAGAATCGCAAAGGGAGTGGCATCTCGCATTTTTTTCGATTTCTCTTTTCATTAACACCTTGCTTTAAACCAATTAAATTTAATAATAGAGGTGTTTTCCAATTGTGGTAATTCTCGCGGCGATTTCATTTGAAACAAGCGCGTTCGCATTAAACGATAATCAAAAACAGTTCGATAGATAAAACATCCGTGTATCGATCGACAATTTCGGAACGCCCCGTATAATCCCGACGAGATCAATCGAGCGGCTAACGCGGCTGACTCGCGATTAATCTTAACAAGGGAGAAAAAGGGGAGAGCTCTCAACGAGCACGGGGGGGGGCCTCTGCGAGACGCCGAGATATTAGAAATCGCGAGTTAATCGCAAGTTAATCGCAAGTTAATCGCGATTAACTCGGCCGTTGTCTCTCCTCCCCCTCCCGTCGTCGCGGGAATATAAACAGAGAGCCGTTTGCTCCGCGCGTCGGAATTCGACATCATTTCGATTTTCCCTGTTTACGTCTCGCGAGGCACATCGACGCACCGCTCGACGACGCGACGACGTTGACGCGTTACGTGCCGAGGGTTGTATCGTCGTGGCGCAACAAAACACGAAAGTGTGCCTTCGTCCGAATGCCGCGGACGACGCAGTACGGCGGGGCGCCGAGCAAAACAGTCTACAGGCTACATACGTCGCCGGCAGGAAGAAAAGCTCCTTGGCATTCGTGTGTGTCGCGGAATTGGCGGTAATGCGACGATCGTCGTCACCGACGACGACGACGACAACGGCGGCGCAGAGCTCGGAGACGTTCGCGACGATGACAGGACCGAAAAGACCGAGCGAGGGATATTCGAAGAATCTTCCTGAAAGGAGGGATGTATACAAGCACGTCGGAGGCGGAAAGACGAGATAAACAAGGAAGAGGGGGACGGTAAATTGTTCGGCTGCGTCGATTATCAATATAACGTGGTCCCCTCGATGATGTAGAGAGACAGAATGAGAGTGTGTGTGAGAGAGAGAGAGAAAGCCAAAAGACGTACGCGATGAAATCACACGAAGGCCCGTCGCCGTTTCCGCTGGCCGTACGGCATACGAAAGCGCTCGCCACCGCCAGGGGGGGAGGGGGGGCGTATCGATTCGGACAAAACAATTGTGGCCAAGTCGTGGCCGTCGTCGGCCGTGTGTGGCGAGCCGAGTTACACTTTTACGCACTTGGTACCCGAGGCCGTGTAGAGCCGCCGTGTAGAGAGTCTTTAGTCACCGCCCAGCTCTCGGTTGTCCTCGTCGTCGTCGTCGCTGTCGCTGTCCCTGTCCTCGTCGTCGTCGCAGTCGTCGCAATCGCAATCGCTAGCGCAAAAGAAGAGGGACACGGTGTATAGAGGCTTGTCCTACCGTATGGGGTAACACTCCCGCGTCGCTGTCATGCCTCCACGTCGTGTTGTTCCCGTATACGTGTTACGCGCGCGTGTATGTGCGCGCGCGCACGCGGCGCTCGATCGCGCCCGTCCCCCGAGCGTGTATGTCAAAACGTGTGTGTGTACGTGTGCGCGAAGAGCGGACGTAGAAGCGCGAGAGAGCAGAAGCCACGACGACGGTATATCGAGGGACCAGAGGCGGCGCGGACACGCGCGCGCGACGGCGTATTATACGTAGCAGACACACACACACGTACACCGATTCGAAAGACCGTCAACGGAGGAGGAAACACTCGCGTGCACGACGCACGCACCGCACGCACGTATATATTCGCGCGCGCGCGCGCGCACGTCTCTTCTCACCGCCGCCGATACAACACTCTCTCTTTCTCCTCCTCGCTCTAGAGCGCGCGTATCACCCTCCCTCGCTCGCTCACTCGCGACTTCAGTTCGGGGAGCGAGACGCGAGACACACCGAGAAACACCGCGCACTCCGACACGACACTTCGTCCGACGACGGCGCACCACCAACTGAATGCCGAATCCTAACCGACTGAGCAGGACTCGGAAACGCGGCGCGCGGCGCGCGGCGCGACGGGATGGAGGGGATGCCGGCCGCAACGTGGGGGAACGGGGAACTATCATTCCCGCGGTGAGAGACGGGGGGTTGGGAAAGGGTGAACGGGGGAAGGGGACGCGTATCACAGGTGCGGACGCTGCGCGTCGAATACCACGTTCGAATTTGAGGAGCTTACAGCTTGTTGCGAAGAGTATGTGAGAATTACGCGAACGCGGGTTAAGGTTTGTTCAATTTATAACCGTACACACGAATGTATGCCTGCTCATTTTACATACTTTTTTTTTACAGTGTAGGACTGTAAATACGATTTGGATTTGTTGGGATTCGGATAATTCGGATAATTCACCAAATTATCTGACTACTTCAATTCGGGTATTCGAACTATCCGAACGATTCTTAATGCCCGAAAAATATCAAATTCGTATCTAAATTATCCGCAAAAATAGAACTGAAAACTAATTGTTAAGTCGTTAAATAGATTTTATTTAGTTATGTATTTTTTTCATTGACTCTAAAAGAATTCCCTGCAGCGGGAGATCTCGTTACAATCGAGAGAAGCTACCATCTCAGTATGCAAACTAATTAATATTTCTTTATCAAAAAATGTTTTAATTTCTCACGCGCATTCCTAAAGATTTTTTAAATATATTATATTTAGAATATATTTATTTGCTCTATCTATATATGTATATAAACTAGAGAATGTGTATCTGTCTGTATATTCCCTATTAACTCCTAAACCTTTTGACTGATCTGGACCAAATTTTACATAATTACTGATTTCCATCCCCTTAACTTTGTGATGATCCCGAGCAACGCCAGATAGTTTAAGCTAGTTATTGTATTTTATAGTGTGACTATAAAACACAAAATACAAAGTAATCTTTTCATATAAATAATAAATGAAGGTATACCTAAACGTAATTTCAATAAATTTTTACACACTGTGTTTTAAAATTTCAAAAAGATCGTAATATTTAATTTAATGTTGCGTAATGTAAAGTAAAGACATACCGCGTCTTACTTTTGTTACTTTTGTCGAGGCGGCGTGTCGTTAAGTTAGATGTTAGATATGTCACCATTTGTATAATTATAGGACGCGAGATGTTTAACGACTTTGATATAGCGGGTAAATTTAGCGATTCTCGCCGATACTCGTGGGAACTGTGCGGCAAGATCGTTAGAAAGTAGAATACCATATATGCGCAAAAGCGAAGCGATATTGTACGCCCTAGTCGAATTGTGACGGCCGCAGCGGCGCAACAATTGGAACAGACGCAACAAACTCCCTTATCCAAGTTATTACCGAAATATATCTCCACCCGATATATGTATGTATATATCCACATATATTTCCCATTGCTCTGACGCAAATAAGCTATACAACCGTTCCATTGTCGAGCGCGCAACGTTACCGAATCCAAAACGCCACAAATCGCATGCAACGCGCCAGTTAATCGTAAATTAATTAATAGGGTGCGCAATTATTATTATTAGCGATTTCTCAATTAGTGCCATTTCATTTTCCAATCGCGACGTATACCTACTCAATTTAAAGTCCGTTATTTTCCTACTTTAGGTGACGATCGTTCCGATCGTTTTGTTTTATTCAAAGCCAAGTGCACCTACTTAAAAGCCGATCAGCAGAATAGATGATGGAGATTAGCTGAAAATCGATTTTTATTGCGCGAAAAGAATTAAACCGAACGCCCAATTACGGAATTATTCATTCCCAAAACAAAGAAGTCCTCATACATTCATAATCAATTTTAGAAGTGGGACGCATTTTCAGGTCAATCACTAAATAAGTTTCGAATATATGAATGTGGAAACTCCAGAATAGATACTTGACATTTTCAAAGTCAGATCGAAGTCCATTATCCGCCACCGTTTTAGATGACATAAAAAATTTCGCGACTTTAAAAGTTTTGCTATGAAATATTCCGTGGCGTAAAATAATCGTGAAACCGCACACACAAATACGATATTTTAAAGATAGCATAGAAAAAAAGTCGTCTTGCCCTGCATGAAATGCTATGTTGCTAACACGCAAATAAATGCATTTTTTATACGTCACTAGGATCGAAACCACTGGTGGCTGTTATTGGTGGCTATTGTAACGTCGATTATATTACTCGAATCAATTTTATATATAATGAGTTATATTATTATTGTTTGTATTGTACATAAGCAATTCAAAAACGAGAGCAACACTGACATGTGGAAGTAGATACAGAAATTTATAACGTGAAAATCGTTTCTTCTCGGATAAATTCCGCGATAACAACGCGTGTCATATTATACATAAGGAATTAAAAAAACGAGCAGCGCTGATATTTTTGAGACAGATTAAAAAATTTAGAAGGCTTTGTATTCTTTATTTTTAAATAATATACGAAACCGTTTCTCCGGATGGATTCCGACATTACAGACACGCGTCGCATCAAGCTAACATCGGAATTCCAAGGGTCTCTCGTGAGTTTCATCCTCGGTTTCATCTCTACGAATGTTACAGCCCTGGGACGCCACGGGGCTTAATATCCCTACGAGGGTTAACAGAGAGGAAGGAAGATAGGGGCGATCTTATACGGGAGGGAGGGCCGATGCCGAAGCCATAAGCGCGACGAAGGGACGCGTCGAATGGAAGAGAGAAGAAGAAGAAAGGTGGAAAAAAGATAGGACCTACTCTGAAAGAGAGAGCGCCGGGTCGGCCGGAGCGAGGGCCCCTTCCTCCCAAAGGCCGCACCCACACGAGGGTCCACGCTGATCCGGGGAACTCGGGCTGGCACAGCCCTGAGGAAGCCGAGTAAACACACACTTCGTGACGCGCGAAGGATACCGTGAAGATACCGAAGAAGAGCGGCTATTTGAAATCGCTATCGTTTCGACGAGATTAGATTCTCTCTCTGCCGCGGCACGCCAACGCGCGTTCTACCCGCGACTATCCTGGACGGCGACGATTGATGCGCGTCGCACTTCCCATCTATCTGTTTAAGAGAACTTCTCTAAAATTACATTTTGATTTTAAGTCCTTCATCCTTCGTTCGATTAAATGTATAGAAGAAGGTCAGTGGCGTTTCTTTCCGTGGACTGCCGTGAAAATAACGACAATCAAGCAGGGAAGCAAATGGGAAGGATAAGAGCGAATTTCGAGCTGAATAAAATACTTATGCACTCACTGTTAAAGATAAAAAATGAAATTTAAATCAGTACCTTTGAGTTAAATAACATTTTTGTGATTTTTAACTTACCATGTGTATCGAAATTTATTATTTTCACACAAACAGTATTATTTTTATTCCATTGGTTTAATTAAATTGACATTTGTTTTAGTTAAATTAACGATATTTTGATTAGTAGCAATGGCGATTTATACGAATGGTTAAAATTGATTCAAATTGAATGTAATTTGACACCACGAATTTAACAGTTTAAAGTCCAAAATCTAGGGCTGCAAAACGCTCCGAATTTACTTCGGAAATAATTAATACATTAAATCATTCATTTACTCGAGTTCGGATATCTAAATTAGCCGGGATTATTCGGATCTTACTGCGCGAAGAGTCGCATATATCCGAATTCGTGAATTTATTAATCAGAATCATCAAGGACGAACGATCGCGAACGAACATTCACGAACGTGACGAGCTCTTTCCCTTTGACATATCGAAGTGAACCGGAACATATAACATATTCGTCGTTGTACGTTCGATCTCGTCGAAACAAGTCGTTTATTCGCGTTTGTTCGCGCTCGCTCGCTCGCTTAGTTTGGATCCAGCTTAACGCATGCGCCTTTTTAATTCCACGGACGTGATGGTTTACCCACTGTGAGGAAAATTTTTTTATCTAGGATGGGGATAAAAAAAATCCACCCTGCATTGTGGAAAAAAGTCTGCAAAATTACGTTGAACAAATGTAAAATGTATACCATCTACGATGGAAATATGTATACACGTTCAATTATAAATTTAATGGAATGTATAATTTTTACGCTTGTTGTTCATGCAGTGCAGTTTTCCATTGTCGTGTGCCGTGTTGCAGTTCACATACTTTTTTTACAGGGCATAAAAAACGCGTTCTCGACTGGAACTCGCGTGGAACAACGTCGAGAGCGAGCGAGCGAGCACTTCCACACGCCCGCCGCTCGCGTTTCGCTTTTCTGACGCGTCTGCGGACGCGGGACGAATTCCTCCGGGAATTTTATCTCGCGCTCTTATCGCCGTCGAATCTCCCGTTCTACTCGAAATCATATCTCGCACGATGATACCGTAATACCCGCCTATATACCGTGTGTGCCGTTCTACGATCGCGCGCCCGCCACTGCGCAGCGCCGTTCTCTCTCTCTCTCTCTCTCGTCGTAGACGACGAGAACGTCAAGCCAGACGCTATCATGGCCGAGCACCGCTGATAACTCCGAGTTAAGCCAAAATCAACACGCCGCGCGCTGCGGGTCGAGGCAACGCGCGACGCAGCTGCCGTCGCGAGTGCGTCATGTCGGGTGACAAAGCTCAAGATGTTGTCTCTCTCTACATATATAAATCCCTTCTCTTTCTTTGTCTCTCTTGTTCTTTTTCTCTCTCTCTCTCTCTCTCTCTCACGGATTCGTCTTCAGATACAGCATACAGCGTGCCAGGCGGTTCAATATCGATCAAATTCGGTATCGATAGAAAACGTTCCTCCTCCTTTCTTCCTTCCCCGGATATCCGTCCTTATTACAGACAGTAGCGCGTACCGCGCTTTAAGGAAAAGCTACCTCGGCGTTAAAAGGAAAAGGAGACGTATCCCCCGCTCTCGCTCGCTCGCCACGGTTTTGTTCCATACCTTTCGCAGCGTTTTCTCATGGTACCTTCTCCCTCTCCGTTTTCCCCTCTGCTCTCCCTCTCTGTTTCTCTCCACCGAAATCCCAGACGGGAAAGTGAGTTTCGGAACATGACTGTTAATTTTACGCAAC